CACACACACACACGCACACGCGCACACACACACACACACACACACACACACACACACACACACACCATAACTACACAAACTACGCCTCTGATTCTAAACAAACAAGCTTCAGTCCTGCCGAGCTGATGGTTATTGATCTCTAGCAGAGTCACATCAGAAAAAAAACACACTAATAAATCACTTTTTAAATCCATTATTGAACTGTTCATTGTTTTTCTGATTCATGTTCATGTCGATGTTCACTGGTCATCAAGTATCCAGTGACTTTTAACTCACCTGGCAAATGGATTAATGTAAGTGATTTAAAAGTTGCATTCAAAAAAAAAAAGAAGTTTATATGCCATTTTTATATTTGAATGAACTCATTTTGTAAGTTACTCTGTAACGGATGTTACCGTGTGTGTCTGTTAGCTCATCTGCTAGCATGTCTGTTTTACTTCGTCTGTTAGCAGGTTTGATAGTGTGTCTGTAAGCTGTATACCACATCTGTTAACATACCTCTTTTTTAACACATAGCACATCTGCTAGCCAGGCTCTTTTGTGTCTGTTAGCATTAGTCTGTTGTTATGTGAGGAGGTTCAGGTTTTTCTCACCATCCGTGCACCTCATCTCTCTCTCCAGCTGCACTCCTCTCCTCTACAGTAACTGTATGTTTGTCTGTTAGCATTAGCGTGTCTGTTGTTTCTCACCGCTGATGCATCTCCTCATCTCTCTCTCCAGCTGCACTCCTCTCCTCTACAGTAACTGTATGTTTGTCTGTTAGCATTAGCGTGTCTGTTGTTTCTCACCGCTGATGCATCTCCTCATCTCTCTCTCCAGCTGCACTCCTCTCCTCTACAGTAACTGTATGTTTGTCTGTTAGCATTAGCGTGTCTGTTGTTTCTCACCGCTGATGCATCTCCTCATCTCTCTCTCCAGCTGCACTCCTCTCCTCTACAGTAACTGTATGTTTGTCTGTTAGCATTAGCGTGTCCGTTGTTTCTCACCGCTGATGCATCTCCTCATCTCTCTCTCCAGCTGCACTCCTCTCCTCTACAGTAACTGTATGTTTGTCTGTTAGCATTAGCGTGTCTGTTGTTTCTCACCGCTGATGCATCTCCTCATCTCTCTCTCCAGCTGCACTCCTCTCCTCTACAGTAACTGTATGTTTGTCTGTTAGCATTAGCGTGTATGTTGTTTCTCACCGCTGATGCATCTCCTCATCTCTCTCTCCAGCTGCACTCCTCTCCTCTACAGTAACTGTATGTTTGTCTGTTAGCATTAGCGTGTATGTTGTTTCTCACCGCTGATGCATCTCCTCATCTCTCTCTCCAGCTGCACTCCTCTCCTCTACAGTAACTGTATGTTTGTCTGTTAGCATTAGCGTGTATGTTGTTTCTCACCGCTGATGCATCTCCTCATCTCTCTCTCCAGCTGCACTCCTCTCCTCTACAGTAACTGTATGTTTGTCTGTTAGCATTAGCGTGTATGTTGTTTCTCACCGCTGATGCATCTCCTCATCTCTCTCTCCAGCTGCACTCCTCTCCTCTACAGTAACTGTATGTTTGTCTGTTAGCATTAGCGTGTATGTTGTTTCTCACCGCTGATGCATCTCCTCATCTCTCTCTCCAGCTGCACTCCTCTCCTCTACAGTAACTGTATGTTTGTCTGTTAGCATTAGCGTGTATGTTGTTTCTCACCGCTGATGCATCTCCTCATCTCTCTCTCCAGCTGCACTCCTCTCCTCTACAGTAACTGTATGTTTGTCTGTTAGCATTAGCGTGTATGTTGTTTCTCACCGCTGATGCATCTCCTCATCTCTCTCTCCAGCTGCACTCCTCTCCTCTACAGTAACTGTATGTTTGTCTGTTAGCATTAGCGTGTATGTTGTTTCTCACCGCTGATGCATCTCCTCATCTCTCTCTCCAGCTGCACTCCTCTCCTCTACAGTAACTGTATGTTTGTCTGTTAGCATTAGCGTGTATGTTGTTTCTCACCGCTGATGCATCTCCTCATCTCTCTCTCCAGCTGCACTCCTCTCCTCTACAGTAACTGTATGTTTGTCTGTTAGCATTAGCGTGTATGTTGTTTCTCACCGCTGATGCATCTCCTCATCTCTCTCTCCAGCTGCACTCCTCTCCTCTACAGTAACTGTATGTTTGTCTGTTAGCATTAGCGTGTATGTTGTTTCTCACCGCTGATGCATCTCCTCATCTCTCTCTCCAGCTGCACTCCTCTCCTCTACAGTAACTGTATGTTTGTCTGTTAGCATTAGCGTGTATGTTGTTTCTCACCGCTGATGCATCTCCTCATCTCTCTCTCCAGCTGCACTCCTCTCCTCTACAGTAACTGTATGTTTGTCTGTTAGCATTAGCGTGTATGTTGTTTCTCACCGCTGATGCATCTCCTCATCTCTCTCTCCAGCTGCACTCCTCTCCTCTACAGTAACTGTATGTTTGTCTGTTAGCATTAGCGTGTATGTTGTTTCTCACCGCTGATGCATCTCCTCATCTCTCTCTCCAGCTGCACTCCTCTCCTCTACAGTAACTGTATGTTTGTCTGTTAGCATTAGCGTGTATGTTGTTTCTCACCGCTGATGCATCTCCTCATCTCTCTCTCCAGCTGCACTCCTCTCCTCTACAGTAACTGTATGTTTGTCTGTTAGCATTAGCGTGTATGTTGTTTCTCACCGCTGATGCATCTCCTCATCTCTCTCTCCAGCTGCACTCCTCTCCTCTACAGTAACTGTATGTTTGTCTGTTAGCATTAGCGTGTATGTTGTTTCTCACCGCTGACCTCATCTCTCTCTCCTGCTCCGCTCCTCTCCTCTCCTCTACAGTAATTGTATGTTTGTCTGTTAGCATTAGCGTGTATGTTGTTTCTCACCGCTGATGCATCTCCTCATCTCGCTCTACAGCTGCGCTCCTCTCCTCTACAGTAACTGTATGTTTGTCTGTTAGCATTAGCGTGTCTGTTGTTTCTCACCGCTGATGCATCTCCTCATCTCTCTCTCCAGCTGCACTCCTCTCCTCTACAGTAACTGTATGTTTGTCTGTTAGCATTAGCGTGTCTGTTGTTTCTCACCGCTGATGCATCTCCTCATCTCTCTCTCCAGCTGCACTCCTCTCCTCTACAGTAACTGTATGTTTGTCTGTTAGCATTAGCGTGTCTGTTGTTTCTCACCGCTGATGCATCTCCTCATCTCTCTCTCCAGCTGCACTCCTCTCCTCTACAGTAACTGTATGTTTGTCTGTTAGCATTAGCGTGTCTGTTGTTTCTCACCGCTGATGCATCTCCTCATCTCTCTCTCCAGCTGCACATCTCTCCTCTACAGTAACTGTATGTTTGTCTGTTAGCATTAGCGTGTCCGTTGTTTCTCACCGCTGATGCATCTCCTCATCTCTCTCTCCAGCTGCACTCCTCTCTTCTCCAGCTCCAGCAGACGCTCCTCCAGCTTCTTCTGCTCCTCACACACCTGCTTCTCTGACACGCGTGTGTGTGTGATCACCTGAACACACAATCAGTTAATCAATCAGACTTCAGTCGGAGAAGAACAGAGACTCACACATCTGATGCTGAAAGAGAGAAGCAGATTCAATCCCAAACCTCATGGAGCGGAAGGTAATGTTGTGGTCGTGATCCTGTGCTTTATTAATGTGTGCTAATATCAAAATCACTTAAGGTTTGGACACATTTCAGATTAGTTTACATCTAAAAAAAATGTTAGTTAAACTGCAACAGTTGCTGCAAACAGTTCATCGCAAAGCTCTTTTCATATCATTGAAATCACATGTTTTTAAATATGATTATACAGAGAAACAGATGCATGTTAACTGAAACCTGAAAGAAATGATGAATTTGACCAAAATAATAATAATAATAATACAATTAAAGTATTTTTCTTTTTTCTCTAAGAGTGTCTTGTACTATAAATGAAGCTCTCCTACCATTAATATGAAGTATTGTTCACTCCAGCAGCACAAAAAGACAGTTTGTGTCTCACCTTCCTCTTGATGAGCGGTAAACCATGAACAGGAGCTGCAGCCTGGTGCATGCTGGGAACTGAGGATGAGGTTTGGGGTTTGTGTGCAACTGAGTTTTCACAACTGAAAGGGTTTGTCTTGACAAAGAGAAAAACAGAGAGATAGTCTGATGTTAAAACACACACACATACACACACACACACACACACACACACACACACACGCACACAAACAATATCCTGTGAGACTGCAAAGAGAAAAATAACAACCCACAACCACAAGCTGACTCTTCAGTCTGAGCGTCAGATGTCTGTTTGTCTGGTTCTCTGACTGACTGAAGCTCACACACATCAACTAACTAGATAAAAGTGATAATCGCCTCAACCACAGGTTTAACATTAGAGAGAAATCGCATGACTCTGAAAGGGGAAATAAAGCTGCACCGTGTTCTCTATTTCAGTTCATTAAAGTGGAGATCCTGGTTCTAGGTCTGAATTTGGGACTCAGGTCTAGTCTGGTCTCTGAAGGTCTAGACTCGAATCTGATCTCATGATAACTGGACGATGAATTAGGCAAAGTTTGAAGATCCTGACCTTCCCTTTCTTTATTGTTTATAGCTGATAATTTGTTGAAATGAGTCACAGACAATGTGTTTCTCACTGATACTGACCTGATACTGACGGTCTCTGCTAACCTGCTAACAGCAGCAATTCTATTCCCAGCCTGGAGATCACATGACTCGTCTAAACTAGAGGAGACTAAATATAAACCAACTTCATCTAGTGAAGAACCAGTGCTGGTTTGTGTCAGTTCTTCATAAACTTCCTTCATTCAGTACCTCTTCATCATTGGACTCGTCCTCATCTTCCTCCAGGAAGGGGTTAAAGGTTGCGGGCTGGCGGTGTGAATGAGCGGATGGAGCCGGAGCCGGAGGAAGACGATACCAGGGACCCGGATCAACCAGCTTCATCCAGGGATGTTCCTTACGAACAATGCTCTGAGACGAGACTGAGACCAGAACGAGAAAAACACACGAGACAATGGTAATAATGATATCTCCAAATAAATTAAATAAGATGGTTGTTTTAGTAAGTGTGAACTCTTTCAACTCAAAAATGCTTCTATGCATATATTCCTTTATATAGTTTTAATTTATTCAATATTATGTATTTCATGTTTTCTGTCCTATTCACATGGATGCTCACAAATAACACTCAACAAAAAACAGTAAAACAACAAACTCGGCTAATCATTAGTAAACGTGACGACAAAATTATTGACAACAAATAAATGCATTAATCATTAATTATCACTGAACAGCTACTCTAAATGTGTAAGTAGTTTTGGCTCATCCAATCAGAATGTAGAGCTTAAACTGTCTGTTTGATGATGTTTACACTGTAACAATAGTAAGTGTAATATTGTAACACAGGGATGAAGATTCTAACCGTTGTCAAGGCGATGATCCGGTGATCTGGGGGCGGGGTGAGGAGGTTCCTGAGGCTCCGCCCTCTTTCTGGGAGCAGGTTTGGGAGGTTCTTGTAGATCAGTCTCTGATGAGGTGGAGAGATGTCCATCATTCACCACGTCTCCATCGGTCTCTCTCCTGTCTCCATCCGTCTCACAGGTGTCGTTCTGTGAGTGATCTGCGGGCCGGTCATTTTCAGGAGCAGGTCTGCAGGGATAACTGCACTGCAGTGAACCCGTCTCACTGTCCACTGTGAAAGAGATCGGCAGCAGAGCGCGACGACAGCGACTGCATCTGAAACACACCGGGAGACAATCAGGACATGACTAGAGACATTTGACTGGTCCTCACTAGTTAAAAAGCCTTTTAAACTCAGCCAAAATCGATTTTATTTAAATCTGTTTCCATTTAAATCTTGTGTTTTGCACAGGCTTCTGTGATGGGTACGTTTAGGAGTTGGGTTAGGCCATAAAAATATCACTAACCTGATATAAAAACAATGGAAGTTATGGAAGTATATGCAATGTCTTCACTAATAGTGAAACAAACACGTGTGTGAGAGACAGAGAGTGTGTATTTAGAAAGAGAGAGAAAGAGTGAGTGTGTTGTGACACTTGTGTGTGTGTGAGTGTGTGTTTTACCTGAAGCAGGAGCGGTGATACAGGCGTCCCTTCACCAAAACCCTCTGAATGAGATGAACACATGTGTGACAGACACTACAAACTCGCTTATCGGAAGACCTGATCACATCTGATGAGAACTGAGAGAATGACAGCAGAGAGATGAATTATCAGACAGACGGACGGACAAGTAGATGGGCAGACAGACAGACTAGTGGACAAATGGACAGACAGACAGGCAGGCAGACAGACAGACTAGTGGACAAATGGACAGACAGGCAGGCAGACAGACTAGTGGACAAATGGACAGGCAGGCAGACAGACAGACTAGTGGACAAATGGACAGACAGGCAGGCAGACATACAGACTAGTGGACAAATGGACAGGCAGGCAGGCAGACAGACAGACTAGTGGACAAATGGACAGACAGACAGGCAGGCAGACATACAAAAAGACAGATAGAGAGAAAGACAGATAGAAAGAGAGACAGACAAACAGGCAGCCAGAGAGACAGACAGACAGATGGAAAGACAGACAGAGAGAAAGACAGACAGACAGACAGAGAGACAGACGGATATACAGAGAGACAGACAGACAGATGGAAAGACAGACAGACAGACGGATATACAGAGAGACAGACAGACGGATAGACAGAGAGACAGACAGACAGACAGAAAGATAGATAGACAGATGGATAGACAGACAGACGGAAAGACAGACAGACGGATAAACAGAGCGACAGACAGATGGAAAGACAGATGGATAGACAGACGGATAAAGAGACAGACGGATTGACAGAGAGACAGACAGACAGACAGATGGAAAGATAAACAGAGACAGACAGACAGACGGAAAGACAGACAGAGAGACAGACAGATAGACAGAGAGACAGACAGACGGATAAACAGAGAGACAGACTGACAGACAGATGGAAAGACAAACAGAGAGACAGATGGAAAGACAGACAGATAGACAGATGGATAGACAGACAGACAGACAGACGAATAAACAGAGAGACAGACAGATGGAAAGACAGATGGATAGACAGACGGATAAAGAGACAGACGGATTGACAGAGAGACAGACAGACAGACAGATGGAAAGATAAACAGAGACAGACAGACAGACGGAAAGACAGACAGAGAGACAGACAGATAGACAGAGAGACAGACAGACGGATAAACAGAGAGACAGACTGACAGACAGATGGAAAGACAAACAGAGAGACAGATGGAAAGACAGACAGATAGACAGATGGATAGACAGACAGACAGACAGACGAATAAACAGAGAGACAGACAGACAGATAGACAGAGAGACGGATAAACAGAGACAGACAGACAGATGGATAGACAGACAGAGAGACAGACAGAGAGACAGACATACATACATACGGATAGACTGACAGACGGATAAACAGACAGACAGATGGATTGACAGAGAGACAGACAGACAGATGGA